TGGTGCCTGTCCTGGATCTCGCTCTGTAGACCAGGCTGGCCTCCAGTTCACAGAGATCCGCCTGCCTCTGCCTGAGTGCTGGGATTAAAGGGGCGCCAGCACCACCGGGCTTGTGCTGGTTTCTTGGTGGGGACACTGGGGGATAAAGCATAACGTTGCTCTTTCTTTGGTTGTATTTGAGCTCCTTGGCCTTTTGACCAAGGTCATGTGCATTTGACAATAACCAGGGTTATACGCTGTTCTGTCGCCATTAGATGGGGACTACAATCCCGACCGGGCCCACGCAGTTATTCACGATCCCCGGGACCTCTCCTGGCTGGGCTCTCTCTGCCGCAGCGGAACTGCCGTGCACGCATGCGCACACGGGCTTACCGAGAGCGTGGCCTCTTTTCTGTTGTTATAGGTGTCCAGGTACTCCTGCAGTTCCAGCACGCTGAACTTCAGCTTGTCCAGGAGCCCACAGGAAAGGAGCTAGAGACAGGAACAGTTGGCTTTAAAGACCGACGGGAACACCAACAGCAAGGCCTACTACACAGACACAAAAGACGTAGAGGGAGGTGGCTAATTTGGCTTCACTTTGGCTACAGCGGGAACCGATACTAGTTTGGAATCCAAGCCTTCCGCTGGAAACCTATAGTAAGATGTGACATCCACTTTATGCATGACTCTATTATCGTTATCAGTAATAGTTCATGCTTCGTTATGGAAGACAGACCTCCAAAGAGATCTGCGAACTGATTTTGTATTTTAACTTGCATTTGAAATGATTTAAGATGGGGTTCTTTTTCATACTGTATTCCTTGCTGAAAGGCCAATCAGGCTGTTGGAAAGACTGACTTTGTAGAAATAAAATTGCAAGGCATTTCAAGGGGCACCAGTCTGTGAGCCTGAGAACTTGGGAGGCTGTGTCTGGAAAAGAGAAATTCAGGCAGATCTTCATTAGGTTATACACACTGGTATACCCAGCCTATGTGATGGTTCTGGATGGGAGGTGGGAAGAAATGAAGGTCATGAATAACGCCTGCCCTAAAAGCACTGGCCAGTGTTGCAAAGTTCTCTTGATAAAATCACGACCTGACAGTCAGTTACAGACTTCCAGATGACCTCTCTGAGGGTCATCCAGTCATATGCACAGCTGGCCGAGTCAGAGTCACTCGGAAGTGGGACCGAGGACAGGGAAGGCACCCAGAGGTAGACGGTTCCTAATTCTCTGAAATGCCTTGGCCTGGGCTGGCAATGTTCGCTAATTACTCCACAGACCCAGTGGCCTCCAGGAGGCATGTCACAACCCTACGCTGCTTGCAGCTTTGGAGGTGTCTTCAAAACGGACCCATGACAGGACCTCAGTTTGATCCCTGGAACCCACGTTGGAAGGAGAGAATCAAGTTCCCAACGCTGTCCTCTGACCTCCACCCGTGAGCAGGTGTGCCACCTCATGTGTATACACACACACACACACACACACACACACACACACACACACACACTATAGTAATAAATCCCATACAAACACGCTACCCCACCAGAACAGGACAAGGATACTCACAGTCTCGGCATCCACAAACAGCGTAGGGCATTCAGAGCAGGAAGTGAGCATCTGGGAAGAGCTGACAAATTTGGACCCGATTCCCCGAAGGTTATCTCCAAGGTAACTGGCTGCATCGCAGGTTAGGAAGCAGAACCTCTTTTGAATATTCTGCAAGGCAGGAGAGGGATCCATTATTCACGAAGGCCAAGCTCAACTTGTACACTGGAAAATAGCTATAATTTTTTTTTTTTTTTTGTGTGTGTGTGTGTGCGTATGGGGCAGAACTTTAAAATAATTTGGGGTTTGGCGGTACAAACCTGTAATCAAGTACTTGGGAGGCAGAGGATCAGGAATTTGAGGCCAGCCTGTGTTACATGAGGAGATGTCTCAAAAAAAAAAAAAAAAAAAAAAAAAAAAAAAAAAAAAAAAAAAAAGAGCAAAAAGTGGGGCTAGAGACGGCTCAGCAGTTGAGAGCAGGCATGCCGCTCTTGCAGAGAACCAAGTTTGATTCCTAGTTCACATGCTGGGAAGTTCACAACCTCTTATAATCCCAGATCCAGGGGGTCCAGAGGGAACACATCTCGACATAATAAGAACTATGTATGACAAACCCACAGGCAACATTATCCTAGTGGAGAAAAACTCAAAGCAATCCCGCTAAAGTGGGGAAGGAGACAGGGCTGTCACATGTCCCCATTCCTCTTCAGTACAGCGCTTGAAGCACTAGCCAGAGCATTGTGGCAAAAGACGATAATTAAAGGATACAAATAGGAAAAGAAATTGTCAGACTATCCCTACTTGAAGATGATGTGATAAGCCAGGTAGTGGTGGCGCACACCTTTAATTCCAGCACTCAGGAGGCAGAGGCGGGTGGATCTATGAGGTCAAGACCAGCTGGGCTAAAGAGTGAGTTCCAAAACAGCCAGGACTAGACAGAGAAACCTTGTCTTGAAAAACAAACAAACAAACAAAAAACAAAAAACAAAAACGAAAGAGAGAGATGGATAGATAGATAGACAGACAGACAGATAGAGAAGAAATCCCAAAAATTCTACCAGAATACTGGAAATGATCAGCACTTTTGGCAAACAAATCCTAAAAAGACCTCAGACAGCAAATCAATCTTGGACAAAAGAACAATGCTATGGTCCAGATGTTGAGCTGTATCACAGAGCTACAGTCATAGAAACAGACCGGTAGATCAGTGGAACAAAAGAGAAAACCCAAACATGAGTACATGTAACCACGGCCGTGCGGTATTCGACAGAGAGGTCAAAAATACACACTGGGAAAAGACAGCCTCTTCAACAAACGCTGCTGGGAAAACTAGATGTCCACATGCAGAAGAATGAAATTAGACCCACGTCTACCACCCTGCCCCCAAAACCAACTCCAAATGGACCAACGACATTAGTGTAAAACCCCACAGGCTGAAAGTGTGAGAAGGAGATCCAGCAGTACTCTACAGGACACAGCTCCAGGAAAGGCCTTTCTGGACAGGATAGTATCTGTTCAGGGACTACAACAATTGACAAACACAACCTCACAAAACTCAAAAGCTTCTGTACAGCTAAGGAAGCAACTGAGTGGAAAGGAAAGTCACAGAGCGGGAGAGAATGTTTACCAGCTACATATCTGATAAAGGATTAATATTCAGAGTATACAAAGAACTAAAACCAAACAAACCAAAGAGTCAAGGAAAAAAAAATGACCCAATTAATAAAAAAGGGCTATGGATCTGAATGGAGAGGTTTTTGTTTTTTTGGTGTCTTTCTTCAAGACAGAGTTTCACTGTGTAGCCCTGGCTGTCCTAGAACTCACTCTGTAGACCAGGCTGGTCTCAAACTCAGAGATCCACCTGCCTCTGCCTCTGGAGTGCTGGAATTAAAGGCATGTGCTATCACTGCCTGGCTGAATGGAGAGTTTTTTTTTTTTTTTTTTTTTTTTTTTTTTTTTTTTTTTTTTTTTTTTTTGAGACAGGGTTTCTCTGTGTAGTTTTGGTCCCTGTCCTGGAACTCGCTCTGTAGACCAGGCTGGCCTCGAACTCACAGAGATCCACCTACTTCTACCTCCCAAGTGCTGGGATTAAAGGCGTGTGTGTGCCACCACTGCCCGGCGAGAGTTCTTAAGGAGAAACAAAGATGGCTAAAAAACATCTTAAGTATTCAACATCCTTTGTAACTAGAGGAATGCAAATTAAAACTGCCTTGATAGTTCATCTTACTCGACCTAGAATGGCAAAAGTCAAGAAAACAATGGACCACAGATGCTGGTGAGGAAAGGGGACCGCTCCTCTAGTGGGATTGGAAAGTGCAGCCACTCCAGAGATGGACGTGGAGGATTTTCAGGAAGCTGAAAGCAGACCTGCCATATGACCCAGCTCTACCCCCTGTGGCATGTGCCCAAGGAACCGACATCCTTCTCCAGGAATTCCTGCTCAGCTGTGTTCATTGCCGGCCTAGTCACAGTAGCTGGGGAACATGACCTACGTGTTCTTCAACTGATGAGTGAATAATGAAAATGCGGAGCATATACACTATTCAGGGGTGTGTGTGTGTGTGTGTGTGTGTGTGTGTGTGTGTGTGTGTGTGTGATTAAAGAGAGGTCATGAAGTTGAGAAGGAGTGGAGGGCATGGGTAGGACTGAAATAAATCAGTACTTGTGGTGGTCTGAATTGGAATGGCCCCGACAGGCTCCTAGATTTGAATGCTTGGTCACCAGGGAATGGCACTACTAGGAACTGTGGCCCTGCTGGAGTAAGTGTGGACTTGTTGGAAGCAGTGCACCACAGGGGGCTTTGAGCTTTCAGATGCTTAAACCAGGCCCAGTTTCTCACTCCTTTCCTGTTGCCTGCTGATCAAAATGTAGAACTCTCGGCTCCTTCTCCAGCACCATGTCTGCCTGCATGCTGCCACCATACATCCCACCATGACGACAGTGGACTAAACCTCTGGACTGTAAGCCAGCCCCAACTAAATGCTTTCCTTTATAAGAGTTGCTGTGCCCATAAATGTATTTAATATCATGAGTGTAATTAATGAATATCATGAGTGTAATTAATATCTTGAATGTAATTCATGCCACTGAATTGTGAACTTAAAAATGATTACAATTGCAAATATTATGTTCATTAAAAAATATAAGGTTGAATGTAATCACCACACATTATATGTGTATATGAAATTGAAGACAGCAATGTTCTAAAATAAAAAAAAAAAGAACCCCCACCCCCCCAAAAAAAGAGTTGCTGTGGTCGTGGTATCTCTTCACAGCAATAGATGGGTGGTGGTGGCGCATGCCTTTAATTCCTGCACTTGGGAGGCAGAGGCAGGTGGATCTCCGTGAGTTTGAGGCCAGCCTGGGCTACAAAGTGAGTTCCAGGAAAGGCTCCAAAGCTACAGAGAAACCCTGTCTCAGGGGGAAAAAAAAAGGAAAAGAAAAGAAACCCTAACTAAAGTCAGTAGGTGGTGATACATGCCTTTAATTCCAGCACTTGGGAGGCAGAGATAGGTGGATCTCTGAGTTCGAGGCCAGCCTGGTCTACAAAGTGAATTCCAGGACAGCCAGGACTGTTGCACAAAGAAACCCCGTCTCAAAAACCAGAAACCAAACCAAAGCAAACCAAAACCAAAACCAAAAAAATTAAAAACAAAACAAAAAAAAAAAGCAAAAAACAAACAACAAAAACCCCTAAGATAGTACTTACGTATTTAATTCTCAAAAAATAATAAGATAAATGTTAAAAAGGAAAAAAGCTGTCTCGTTCTGTAGTCCCAGGGTAGCCTGAAACTCATTTTATAGCCAGAGCTATCCCCAATCTTGCAACAACCTGCCCGCCTCTGCCTCCCAAGGGCTGGGATTATAGTCGTGAGCCACCTTGTCTGGTATTAATAGAAACATTTTTAACCATTATGAAAATGGTCAGTGTGTGTCCTAAGGAAGAGGAGAGGGACTCAGAGACGCTAGAGTAGCTTGGCTGAAGATCCCCTCAATGGCCCCAGTGCCACACGTGCTTGCCAGGGTTCTGTCAACGTGACACACCCTAGAGTCATTCATTCTCGAAGAGGGAACCTCCACTGAGAAAACGCCTCCACTAGAGTGGCCTCTGGGCAAGGGTATGGGACATTTTCTTGATTAACGACAGATAAGGGAAGGTCCAGACCTGTGTGGGTGGTGTCAACCCTGGGCAGGTTTGTCCTGGGTTACATAAAAGAGCAAGCTAAGCCAGTCACGGGGCAAGCCGGTCAGCCATGTTCCCCCAGGGTCTCCACTTCAGTTCCAGCCTTGGCTTTCCTCAGGATGGGCTGTAAGCTGTAAGCCAAGTTAACCATTTCCTCCACTGCTGTTTGGTCACGGTATTTTATCACAGGAATAGAAACCCTGACTAGAAGGCCAACAGAAAACGGAGTGGCAGAGTAAAGTGTGGCTTGTCCCACTGACACAGTCCTTCCATGGCAGCCAACCTGACATCCCTGGCGTTCAACCTCCTCGTAAGGTTGAAGCACTAAAGGCTGAGTAGGGTAGAGGAACTAGTCTCCAGAGGAGACAATAACTACACCGCCTTCGAGGGACGGCAGCCCCTCCGGAAGGCCGCGCCATTGGCTGTCTTCAGGGGCTCCCCAAAGCCGTACCTTAAACAGAGAGGAGAACACATGAAAGGTGTACACAGCGCAGGAGCCATCTGAGTCACACATGAGCTGGTTAATGTGGCTGCGCCAGGCCTCCTCGGCGTCGTCACAGGCGGCGGGCTGAAAGGCAGCCAGGATGGCCGAGAAGAAGGGCGAGGGAGGGGGAGACACACCCCTGTCACCTTCTCCAAAGCTGGAAGACACGGAGACCATGCATCAAAAAGTGACCACCTTGCCGGGCGGTGGTGGCGCACGCCTTTAATCCCAGCACTCGGGAGGCAGAGCCAGGCGGATCTCTGCGAGTTCGAGGCCAGCCTGGGCTACCAAGTGAGTTCCAGGAGAGGCATAAAGCTACACAGAGAAACCCTGTCTCGAAAAACAAAAAAAAAAAAAAAAAAAAGTGACCACCTCTTGCAGCCAGCTGTACAGGTTCCACACCTGAGTGTCAGCCTGCTGAGGTGGCCCAGTGGGTCCTTCATTCCTGACAAGGGCCCCCTGGGGAATTGGCTTTCACCAGAGGCCTCTGAGATCTTTTGGTTCTAAGGAGATTGTTGTTTTACCTCTCGCATTTCTATAATTCCTCTTTGTTTTTTGGTTGGGGGGGGTGGTTTGAGACAGGGTCTTGCTATGTAGTCCTGGCTGGCTTGGAACTCACACTGTAGACCAGGCTTGCCTTACACTCACGGAAATTCACCTGCCTCTGACTCCTGAGTGCTGGGATCAAAGGTGTTCACCTCCATGCCTGGCTGATTCCTAATTCTTTTTTTTTTTTTTTCGAGACAGGGTTTCTCTGTGTATCTTTGTGCCTTTCCTGGATCTTGCTCTGTAGACCAGGCTGGCCTCGAACTCACAGAGATCCTCCTGGCTCTGCCTCCCGAGTGCTGGGGTTAAAGGCGTGCGCCACCACCCGGCATGGTTTATATCTCTCTTACCCCTAGCAAGCCCTTGCTCTCCCAGGGGCTAGGCCTCAAACCAAACATCTGTTCCCAGCTCACCATTACCATTCTTTTACACTTTTACACATTCAGATAAGCTCTACTTCAACTTTGGATTCTCTCAACTAGTCCCTGATGCAGACAGACAATGAATGTGTGTGTGTAAGTGCTCAGAATGCCAAGGGAAGGGGAGGAATGAAAGGAGGAGGAGGAGGCAGAGTGAGGAGGATGGACTGGAAGGAAGGCAGGAAGAGAGATGTGAAGAGGCCCAGTCTTCTCAGGGCGTTCCCTCGGCGTTTTCTTTGGATGGTTAGACGTTTTCTGTCTGGCCACAGGCTTTTACTTAGCTCTCATTTTCAACGTCCACAGACGTAAGTGCAGCATCTCAAGTTTCTTCTGAAGTCGATCCAAAGAGCGTCATAATTTGTGACTTATTGCAGACGCTGAGTTGATGTAAGGTATGGTGTTTTCATCTATCCCACCTTCCCTTTGTGTTTCTGCAAGTCACTATGGTTAGAGGTGTCAGCCACTAGGCTGCAGGACACTCAGTTAAAGAGCAGTTATTCAGTTATTTAGCCTGGAAAGAGCCCCTTGTTCGTGTCTTTCAGCTCTAAATGGAAAGAATTCATTTTCAAACTTTGTTCATGTCTTGCTTATCTTCAAAGCTTTGTGTCCCCAGGGCCTTTTTTGGGGGGGGGGCTTTTCATGTTGCTCTGTGGCCCTATAAATTCCTGCATGGGCATCCTTTCTCGGTCCCATGGAAAGCCCTACATGGGGTTGGATGATTGCCGGATTCCACGTTAGGAAATCTCCACGGTATGAGGATGTGTGGCTTTACATTCAAGCTAGTAAGCAGCATGGATGCCACCCACTGTGCCCCACACCCACGCCACCCATCTCACCAAGGGCTGCCTTGCCTTGCAAGAGTGTACTGGTCCAGGCCCCGGGTGCCCTTCTCCTCTGCCTCCGTCATATCCAGGCTGAAGCTGTCACTGCATTCAAAGGCTGCTGGGAGCTCATTGATGGAACTCGAAAGATCATCTTCGTGCACGGTGGTGTCCTCCTCTTCGGGGACAGCTTCCGCCTGCAGGGACAAAGTTTGAAACCCCAATGTTTAAGAATATATAAGTAGAAAACAGGATTCACTGAAGCAGAAATAGGGTCTTGAGAGGGATGGAAATGGGGACATTTATTTTCTAGAACAGCATTCAGAAATTCTCTGAAGTATCCCTTCTCTATTGTCTTCCTTCCGGTCTCTTCCGTAATCATCCCTAAGGAGCTCTGTAGATTATCACATTCGATCTGTGTCTGTGGTCTACAAATGCTAGCTTCAATACGGTCAGAGAAAGACCTTCCTCCCTCATCTAGCTTCCATGGTTACAGCTTAGCAACCTCTGCTTCACGTGCAAAGTATTTGCTCAGTGTCAGCTTGGCCCCCGGGGTGAGATGTGGAAGAGAAGCTATTGCCTTGGTATTCATAAGAACTCAGCACCTTCAGAATAGCTGGTGTGTATGTGTGCTCATGCCTGGACCCGTGCCTGGAGGCCTGCCTCACGGGACCACTGTAGTTTTCAAAACCAGAAAGAAGCCAGACGCAGATGAACTTTGATTGTCCAGCCCCGGCCTTACAGACAGGGACGCCCATCCAGGCCTATTCTCCAAAAGGCCATCTCTCTTCCAATAACGGCTAGACTGTGGAAGCATTGGTGCACGGCACAGGAGAATCTGTAGTGTGCTCGCCGGGGTGACAGGCTGTCTCGTACAGAAGGCACGCCACCACTCACCTGCATGCGTGCTTTCCTCTTGCTACCCTCTCAGGGCAGTGGCTGAGGGGAGAGTGTGACTCTCCCCTCAGCTCAGTGTGGTCACTAAACAGTAACAAGTGACCGCTCCAGGGCAGCGGATCTTGGCTTGATGGGAGGCAGGGAAGAGATCTAGGACTGTCAAAATGGAAAAAGAGGCCGGGCTTGAGCTGAGGCCAGGGAGGAAGTCAACTGGAGAACAGCCTGTTCTGTGAGAGGAAGGCAGGCCACTGGACCACACATCAGAACAGCAGAGGAAGGAAACACATGTGCATGGTGCTGTGAGTCATCTTAAAACAAAAATAAAATCAAGCTGAAATGCAAGTGTCTGGGAATGAGACCCTTACCATGGGTTATCATCTGGCTAATGGTTTATAGTATTCCGAATTTAGGATTAATGAGGAGAAATTAGCCAGAATGTCAGGGCTGTATTAGACAGGACAGGTCATGTCTCTGGAGATGCTGAGTTCTTATAGATGAATCTTTGTTTTCTCTAGCATCATAAGTATATCAAATACCACAGAAATTTTGGTCATGAGAAAACAGATATGTCTTTAGAAATAAGATCTAATGTTTTCTTGCTAGAATTAGATTGTTTTTCTTAAGAGAAATCAATTAATCAATCTATCTACCTACATATCTACTAGCATTTACAAGAAAAATGGAAAGAATGTACTCATGCCTAGAAATAACATGTGCTCAGCACATCACATATATTTTATGATGTTTTCCCAAAAAATTTAACTTAAAGTGTTTTAACCTTAGGATTCTAGCATTTTTGACTGTAGAACAAGATTTTTTGGGGGGTGGGGAGGTTATTTTTTTTGACCAAAAAAGGGGGGTATTTCTATCTTCCAGAATCCTAATTATAGTCCTTATCCCCCCCCCCCTTTTTTTTTTAAATTTTTCGAGACAGGGTTTCTCTGTGTAGCTTTGCGC